CATTGTAGGATGGTGCCTGCTGTAGAGGAAGCCTTTCCGTAAGAAGGGAACATAAAGCTGACAAGAAAGGAGGTTGGTAAGAAATCAACAATCATGAAAGCATTTCACCCTGTGAGGCTCAGGGAAGCCATCTGCCTTCTGGAAGTTATATTTTGAGCCACCTTTGTGCCAGAATATCTCCCTCTTCATCTAAACCGGCTTAGTTGTATTACTATGTGTACTGCCAAAAAGTAACAGACTACCTCATTGGATTGATATGGGAATTACATGATAACTATTATGCAAAGTAAGTAACTACTGAAGATCATCACACATAGAAATACCAATAAGTGCTGGATATTGTTATTCATAATGCAGACTAGTATTTTAAATTAATCTATTCAAGTATATTATGTAAATAAATTAATGGTAATAATGTCTTGATAATACTTTAGACTCTGAGATCATACAGTAAAATCATGTTATTGTAACATTGGTCTCAGTGAAAAGATAAAAGAGTTGCAGCTACATCAAGACCTTATTTCCTGTACAATAACTAAGTCATCCATGTGTAGATTTAGAGGCAAGAAAAGAGCAACCTGATATTTGAAATAAGTAATTGTCCACATTCTTCTTCCCTGAGGAAAGGGTCATTAGAGCTATCTTGTAGTCAAGGAGTATTTAGTATTTTTAATTCACACATACCATGAGCATCCTTAAAGTTCCATGACTAGTACCTGGGGTAGTTTTAGCCTGGAAATAAAGAGCGAGGAGGACTTGTGCATTAATGTCTTCAGTGCACTTCATTAGTAGATCTGTTATATTTATCTATAGTCATGAGATGAAAGAATAATTTGAGATTAGTGACTTAGAATTATTACCATTTAATTCTCCATATTAATTTTTTTATCTGCAATGGAAAAATAGGCATCAAGAGGATAGGCTTTTAATATCCCTTCATTAATGTCATCTTGATATTCCTTTTATTTTAAAGAACACATTTATGAAATACTTAGATAGTCATAATTTAGATCTGACTTTCTAAAAGCAAATTTGGTATAAAAGGCCCAAGTATCTGAACTGGGCTGCCTCCATATAGTAGAAGCGGAATGTGCTGAGTGTTTGATCCATACCTGGGGAAATTAGAGATGCCTAGCAGTGTGGCTGAGATCATACTGAAGGATTTCCATATTAGAAAGAGTTGGTTAAAAAAAAAATTAAAAAACACACCCAAAAAATATAGAGGAAGGAAAGGTGTCTATATGGAGATATCCCCAGACAAAAATGGTGAAAGAGACCAGATCAGCCTACCTCTAGCATCCTCTCTCCCATCTCTTCTCCACACTGGGAAATCTGACATGATATAGCCCATGAGTCTCTGTGTTCCGGATGTAAATATCCTCCTTCCCTTTATAATCCAGGAATGCTTCAGTGAGCATATACTGAGCACTGAAGATAAAAATGCATATACACATCAATTTGCCATACCCCCCATCCTCCCTGAACTGGCAATGCAGTGGGGGAAGAAAAGGGAATCAATAAAACAAGTGGGAGAGTGGCATAAAAGAATGACAAAGAACTAAAAGGTAAGGAAAAGGAGAACTAGGAAAAGAAAAATAACTAGAGGTGTGGCATAAGAAGGCCCAGTATGACAAAAGCACAAGGGAGAGTTCTTAGAAGAGCGTGGGTAAAGAAGTCAAGGAGGAAGATTAAGCAAAAGATGGTACATTTGATTATTTTCATAGAACTTGATGTGTAATTTAGATGAAGTGATTCACGGACTATATTTATCCAACAGTATTAATAGAGGTATATTTATTCAACAGTACTCATAGAGGTAATATGAAGTCTGTGGATTTGGTGATAAGTGAAGATAAAAGGGGTGATAATATTCATTTATCTAAATCTAGCAGTGATCCCTGTGAAAGACATATTACATTTACTAAAGGAACAGTAGTGTTTTTTTTTTCAAACTACTTGAGAAAAATAGATTTGTTCCTGCTTGGGAGCAAAAGAGAAAGTCCACTTTTTAGTTTACTAAACGGCTTACATAATGATCAGGCATTATTAAATCCAAAAAAAGAAGAATGTGTTTTAAGAATATGGGATAAAAAATGACAAGTGTCCTTTTCCTGTAGAGACAGATTGGGGACTGGAGCCCTCAGCTGGCTGGAGGCTCATTAGATGACTTTAATGAGTGGCATCACCTTGGAAGTAACCAGTGCTTTGAAATAAAGATGAAAAGGCCACAAAGAGGGGATGAACTGCCCCTGCCCCACACCGCTTAGGCAGACATATCAAAGTATCGGAACCAAAAAAGTGATAGGAAAAAACACTTCAAAAAATTATTATTCTTTTACTCATTTCTCAATAACCCAAACCAGCAAATACACCCCACAAGGGAACTGCTGTCCCTTTTTGTCTGAGGGGAACCAGGCTCGTCTGTGGCTGTGGTTGGATATCTATTATTTCCACCCTGCGAGCATCCCAGCTCTCTTCCATAGGCTGAGTACCTCCTCTTCTTTTGAGAAGATGTCTCCCCCAAGATGCATAGGTAATACTGACACAAGACAGCTCTCTGAGTCTGTCCAAAGACTGATCTGCTCATCAGGCATAAGGTTTGCTTTCTCTGTAAGAGGGAAACCAGATAATGTATGTAGGCTGGGCACGGCACCATAGGCACAGCCCCATGGAGAGTGAAGCCAAGATGTAAAGTGATGCTAAGAGTAAATGAGCAGGAGAGAAACATTCTTATTGATAAGCTGTGGATCAGATCTGCCACCCCTTGTATTTCTGAGTGACAAGGACTGATGCATTTTCTTTGTTTGCCTAAGTTACTTAGAGTTGGATTTCTGTCCTGTGCTATGAAGTGTCTTGAGTGCAGTGTTTTCAAACTATATACTTAAATAAGAAGTAAAAAAGTCTTAACTTTGAAATCAAAATCTGTTCCTGCTTCATAATTAAGCCTAGTGTACATGCTGTAAAATGAAGATATTAAGATAATTATATATACCCTAAGATTGGTTACTTAGAAAGAAATAAAACCACTGGGATGAAGGTTAAGCATTTTTTTTTTTTTATATTCTTTCACTACCTACAGAAAGGAATTGCTGTGTTGGTTTGATACTTAAGGGAATTCCAATTTGGTATTTCCCGCGAATTACCCATAGGAATTAGGAAGATTACAAAGTGCTCTAGTTTTGGAGCTGATGTCTTTTGGAGACATTTTGGAAGTAGAAGGAATGGAGGAGCTGGATACTAACAAGTAAAAGATCAAACATTGACTGATCATCTATTTTGAGCAAGAGATGACACTAAACTGTAAGTGAGATGGAAAAGAGGCAACTTGACCCAATTAGAGGCACATTGCTACATCTCTGTGAAAATGGAATACCTACCTTCATTACAGTGCTATTAGCAAATCTCACTAATATATAGTAGTGGCAAAAGCAAGCACCCTTCATAAAGAATCTGAACTGTGAGATAATATAAACTACATTCCAAGCAAATGCATTGCTTTTAGAAGATTCTCAGTAAATTATTTTTGAGTGAAGAAATAAAAATGAAACAGCCATTTTCAACAGAAAATACAAAACTCAAGTCATGTATGACTAAAAGACTTAGGGAGAGGATAATGAACAAAATTTGTAGTCAGCTGTTATCAATTATTAGCCCTCCACAAAGAATCATTTCTAAATGTCTTAAACATTTATCTCAGGGAAAGCTATTGGTTCAGGGCAATAGGTTATATGGAAACTGTGGAAGTTTCTAGTCTGGCAGTGTCTGAATTCAACACCCTATTATTATTCCAGGCAAGAAAGGAGCAGCTCTGAATTCCAGTGTCCTCATCTGTCAAACAAGAATAATGATGAACCTCTTGTGGGGTGGCTGTGGGGGTGAATGAAATAAGATGGTAATTTGACCTAGGAAATTTTTAAAAATTACATAATCGGGAATTAAGGCAGAATATGTGAATATCAGTAGCTCGGAAAAAGCTAAATTGCAATGGTGGTCTTTTTGAGAGAGCTGTGTTTGAAACATGTCTGCTGGAAACTTAGGAGATCTAGGACAAATCTTGAAGTGGATTGGATAAAATAACCGACCCCTCTTTCCTCAAGGTCATCAAAAAAACAGGTTTCAGTTCAAGTGTCAGCATCTTTTCACAAACAGTTTACACCCCTCCTCGCTGCTCCTTGCAAATTAGGGAGGGCTGGAGGAGGAAAAGTGGAGTTTGAACGTGGGGAAAAGAGAAAAGTTAAAATAACGATAACAAAATCACCCAGGTTGTGCTGGTGGAGTTTGGATGCAAAACCCCGCAGAAAGAGGAGTTATAAACACCCAATAAAATGTAGCAGCTTTTTCTAGAACCTCCTTCAGCCTGCTTCTCAACACTGTCCTTGACCCTTCTGGGCTGTTTCCTTCCACCTTTTTCTTTACGGCAAAACCAAATATCAAAACAAAACAACCTTTTATTTTTTGTTTCTCTTGACATCTTAGCCAGTTTCATAGTGGCAGAGTTTATGGGGATTTCTTTGTTTTTTTTAGCGCTTGAACCCAACTTTCTTTCCCTTCTCTGGTGAGAACCTGAAATTGGGGCTGTCGAGCCAGGGCGAGACTGAAATCAGGGACCCCCAAACGCGGCGCCTGGTTTTAGCTGCAGAGAAACCCTCGGATCTGGGGGGGGAGGAGGGGGTTGCCGTTGTCCCCGGGGGTGGGATTCGGAGCCCAGGCAGGAACTTCGCTGGGCGCGCGCTCGGGTCCCTCCTGCGGTCGCGGGCGCCGGTTCCCCGTTCCCCAGTCCGGGCGTCGGGGACGCGCGCGGGAGGTGGGAGGGGGGGAGGCGCTCGGCGCCTCAGCCTGGCTTCCGCAGGAGCTATTTTTAGCGGCCTCCAGGTTGGTAGCCTCCGGCTGCGCGGCGCCCCCGCCGCCGCTCGCTGTTGGTAGCGTCCACGCGGGCAGGTCCGGAAACTGAGCATGTCTGCGAGCGCTCGGCGGCCTCGGCGGCGGCGGGGGCAGAGCCGGGCTGCGTCAGGCTGAGCCCATTCACCGCGCGGCCGCAGGAGCGCAGCGCCAGCGCCGCGCCGCCCAACCCCGCCGAGAGGGGCGCACTCGCAGCCGTGGGCCCCGCGGCGCTCTCCGCAGCCCCCTCCTGGCGACCCGCAAGTAAGTTTGTGAGGCGGTTGGGCGGTGGGGCGAGGGCTTAGCGCCCGGGGAGCTGAGGCGGGCAGGTGGGAGGCGCGGCTGGTGCCCAAGGGAGCTGGCTGATCGCCGCCCCCGTGCCCGGCGCCTGGGCTAGCCTGTTGGCCAATTTGAAAGGGGGCGGCTGCCGGGATGCTGGAGCAGCGGGGAGCAGCAAAGCTGGAGGGCAGAACTGACTGTCGGGATCTAGGGGGCCGGCCTGGGGAAGGGGAAGGACCGCGCGGCCAGGGAGAGGATCCGCAGGCCGGGAGCGGACTGGAGCAGCCTGGAGACATGGGGCTTGGGATGCAGCCGCAGAGGGAAGCGGGTGTCTCCCGGGGTGCGGTGTGAGGAGCATAGTAAAGGGTGAGCTCGGGGTCCGAGCGACCAGGGGAAGCTTGGGGGAAAGTGGGCGCGTGGAAAACGGATTTGAACGAGAGGAAAGAAGCCGGTAGGAGCTGTGAGCTCCAAAGAACAAGTGAACTCGGTAATTTGGGGGAAGCAGTACCAGGTTAGGGCGCGATGATGCTGGAGAGAGGCAGCCTTGGACAGAGGTATTCCGCGGGAGTACTGAGGCCACTTGGTGGGAACCGGCTGCAGAAAGGATGCATGCAGAAAGTGGCCGGGAAGGACCAGTTGGGAAATTGCTGGGGGATCGGTGATGGGGAGGAGGGGAGCATCGCTGAGCTGAGAGGAGGAAGAGAGCTGCTGGTGGAGCCAGAAGGCTCCTGAAAGGGTTGGAGGTTTTTTGCGGCCCCTTGAATAAGTGACTTAGTCGTGGTCTTCTGAGGTTCACTTGCACTGAGGTTCCGCCAACATCTACCTGGCATGCTCACAGGACGTCTCGTTCAAGCCAAGCTTGTTGGAGCTTTGGAGAGATCAGGCAGCCTGGAAGGTAATGATTTACCGGAGAGCTGCGGGGGCTTCTAAGTGGTACCTGGTACCCACGGTGCAGTGTGTGTGTGTGTGTGTTGCAGGAGGGCGGGGTTCCGGCATAGTGGTGTCAGTTCTAGGCCATAGTTACCCCCTGAGGTGCGGTGTTTAGGGCAATGAAGTCAGTCAGAAGTCTGCGACGTGCAACTCGCAGCGGGGCATGTGAGTGTGCGTGTGTGCGCGCCTGTGTGCGTGTTGCCAGCCGGGGGTCTGGTGTGTTGCTGCAGTCTGGCCCGTGGCTGGATGATCCGGGCTCCACAGGCAGCGTGGGCTGGGGATTAAGGGAAACGTGCTTTCCTGCGTCTCTCCTGCTTCCTTTCCCCAGGGTCACATTTGCCTGTTCAGTGAGGCTGCTCTTTAACCTCTCCCCGACCCCCCGCGTGCCTCAAATCTGATACAGTTCTTGTTGTTCGATTCAGACCCCCTAGGACTCCGCTGTCCTCCTCTTAGAGAGGGAATCCTAGGCGTCCCCGTGGTTAGAGGGGCTTAGGAATCCACCGTCTGTCCCTGGGGCGTCGCTCTGGGGGTCCGCAGTTCACTCTGCTGCCCCTGCAGGTGACTCGGTGACGATGCCCCCACAGACCTGGGAAGCTCGATGGCTTCAAACGGCCATTTGAACTGAGAAGCCTGATAGAGTTACGGGCTCTCCGGAATGGGGGGAAGGTCTCCCCCGAGTTCTTCACGCATAAATACAATTCAGAAAGGTAAAAATCACATTGGTAGAATAAACAAGCATCTAGTGCAAAAAGCTATAAGCAAAAACCGCCTTTCTGACAGAAATTTCAGCCACCAACTGCAAGATGGGAAGAAGCTTCCACAGTGTTCAGGATTGGGAACTAAAAGGGGGGGGGGGGAGCGGGGCGGCAGTTGTCACCACATCCTCGGCTTCTCAGACTCCATCCGGCTTGCTGCCTTCTGTCTTCGCTGCCATGTTTTAAGAGAGACTTTCAGATTCGGGAAATGAATACGGAAGGCGACTCTGGAAACCTGCGCCATCCGTGGAAAGACTCACGGAAGAGGGAGCAAGAATAGTACCTGCTCTCTGCCGTTGTCTTAGAGGGCTGGTCTGCGATTGGGTGTGCAGCCCTCCGAGGTTTCTGTACATCCAAACTGCGTGGAGGGAGACTCAGCTGAAGGAAAAGTGAGAACTCTGACAAGTGATGAGGCCCCTGGGTGGGTTGTCTTGCAGGATGAGTCCCCAGTTACAGCGGTGGAGGGAGGAGGCAGAAAGTAGAGGAGGCTTCTGATGGTCAGAGCATGGCCTAAAACATTTCAGGTGACAGGGATGTGCCCAGCTTCTCTATGTAACTATTGAGATGTACCCTTTCAAATAGGTAAAGATGGACAGTTTAATCAAAAGACTTAGATTGTTATGTTCTGCTTTAATTACTTTTTTTCCCCATTATTATTTGAAACATGTGGTGAAGGTAAAAAAAATAAATGAGTATTATTTATATTAATTGTTCTCCCAGAGTGAATTTAAATAAAACATAATCATATGTTTGCCTGTACTTGGAGGGTTAGAAAAGGAATATTGATTCCTTTGATTAAGGTGTCAAATAAAGGCAGAGCTTAGGTACCTGAAGATCTTAGGAGCATGTGAAAGTGTAGACTTTCTTTATGGAGCATTAAATAGAGTATAAACTGAGAAAAAGGTTCCTTTCTGACCCCTCAGCTCCTGCATTCGTAATACAAAGCATTGGGAATTCAGTCTGGTTCCCAAACCTCAAATTCTAATGACAGTTTTCTTGCAGAATTGAACAAGTTGTGGTATGCCTTAGGAAATAGTCAGTGGGTTCTTGTAACCCCAAGATGAAGGCATTAAAAAGAGTGGTTAAATGACTTGATGAAACAGAAATGCTAGACAAAGGGGAAGAAAAGAGATTACAAATCACTTTTTTTTTTTTGGCTTAGAAATGAGTCTTATTGATAGACTTATAACAGTGGTTCTCAACTGGGGAAATTTTGCCCTCCCTCTCCTCTCCCGTCCCCCCCCCAACACTCTTACCCCCCTTCTTGCCTCCAGAAAACACTGATAGTGTTTGGAGAGGGTTTGGGCTGTCACAAACTTGGGGTAGGCTGCTGTCATCACCTGGACAGAGGTTGGGGATGTTGCTAACTTCCTAAAATGCACTGACTAATCCCCCACAGCAAAGCATTATCAGATCCCAAATGCCGATAATGCTTAATTTGAGAAGTCCTGACTTAGAACAGGACATGATTAGAATTAAAAGCAGCTCCTGTTGGGATGCTTACACATATTCCTATTGGAAGCCTATGAAATAAAGAATTGTTAATTTTAAGAAACTTTCATTGTAAAATGAGCCCATGTTTAAAACACGTGTTTAAGGAAATGTTTCTTTCTTTTTTTTTAAGATTTATTTATTTATACATACAAGAACTGGGGTACAAGCTAGATGTGTTGGGGAGGGGGTGGGTGGGTAAAATGACTCACCAGAGACAGTGGGGAGCAGAACAAGAAGATGGACAAAAATATACTGCTGAGGGGAGCAGCGGGCAAGGTCAGGGGAGGTCTGCCGCGCCATGTGGGTCAGCTCCCTCCTGGGCATGGAACTTTTGCTGCAGTGGCTGCCGATAGCCTCATAGTGCAGTGCTTTAACCTGTTGTGCCACCAGGAGGGCCAGGAAATAAGTTTCATTTCAACAGAACTTCATTTCAGACTATAAAAAATCCTAAAATATATTAGGAATACCTAAAAAGATAAACTATATGCTATTATTATGGCCTGAGTAATCATTTTTGATGAAAACAAGTTAAAACTTTTCTCTTTTTTTTACTGACCTTGTTTTGATACTTTTAAAAGATATCTAGTTTTAATTTTTTAATTGAAATTAATCTAATTAAAATTTCAAATCTGCATTCTTCATGTATTGTAAGGTAGAACCCAGAAAAGAAGGTGAGGTGAGTATTAGAAGCCTCATGAAATGCTCGAAGATGAAACTTTAGTATTTGTCTATCTCTATACAGTAAAGTAAGTTTCACCCTGTCATTTTCATGTATCAAGTTAGTTTCAATTTTAAATCAACAGAATAGATGTATTAAGAAGCAAATGCTTCAAGCCTATAGCACAGTCTACTCACTGCCTGTGAGGAAGAACAATATTTTCTCTACATTCATAAATGTAATAAGATCAGGGAACTTTCTAACAGTGCCTGCAAGCAAGAACTTAGTAAAGCTTTGTCATTGTCACATTGAGGCTGCAGAAACTAAAGTGATTTAATTTCAAAGTGTCCTCTCTCTCTACACTCACCCCCCTATTTCTACTTCATCCATTTGTTGGGTGGTGGTTGGTTTCAGAATTCATTCTTAAGGGATCTTCATTAGGGCTGCTGGTTTCCCTTCTTGTTCTAATAACAGTTGCCTCAACTCTTGGCCATTATCTTCCCTCAGTCCCTCAGGAATTGATGCAGCAGAAGACTACATACTTCTTCTTAATCTCTGGAGCACCCACTAACAGCTCCTTTTCTCTTGTGTCTGCAAACACAAACACCTCTCTTCTGCTTCCCAGTGAAAAAGAGATTTGTTTCTGTCTTGGAAAAAGGCCATGGGGCAAGCCTTTGGTTTCCACATCCACATCTTTGAAGCAAAGATGCAGGCTTGATTTCATTGCTAGTTCAGTTGTACATTCTCAATGTTTGGAAGGCCTCCTCTGTCCCAAAGGGATAGTGAAAGAATAGAAGAAAACAGACCTTCAGGGTCATTGCCCACTCGATGGATTTGTAAAAACTTTAAAATATGTTTGAGGGCCCTCTCTAGTGGCACAGTGGGTTAAAGCACAGCACTAAGATGCTAAAGCCACTTCAGCGTGAGTTCAGTCCCCACCTCAGAGGTGACCCACAAGGCGTGGCAGAGCTCTCCTAGCCAGCCTGCTGCTCCCTTCCACAGTGCACTTCTTCGATCTGCCTATTCTGCCCCCCACTTTGTCTCTGATGAACCCTCTTACCACCCCTGCACCTCTGCTCTTCTGGTCTGTATCCCAGTTCTGTATGTGTAAATAAATAAACCTTTAAAATATATGATTTGAATCAATG